CTGTGGTGTTTACCATTTGTTAACTTTCATTCATGAAGAAAACAATTTGAAATCACTTTTAACAAAACAGCTTTAAAACTTGTATTAGTTACCTTCAACTCCTGTTTTCTTTTCAGGATTTACCACAGATTGTATACAGTCGTCGAGCTTATCGAGCTTTTCTTCTATTTCATCCAGTCTTTCCTTGACGCCAACTTCATCCATCGCTCACTGTTTAAGAAGTTCTTTGTAGTGTTCCTCGAAATCAGGATCCATGCATTCCTTCTTAAGATCATCAATAGCACTTTGGCAACGTGCTCCTCCCAGTCTCACCAGTGCATCTTGGATGTCCTGCCAGTATTGATTGAATGTTGGGTCATCCACTGAAGCCTCGCTGGCATGACCATAAAGTGTGTTTCTGTAGCACTTGATACGCGCGATGTCTGCCTCAAGGGTTGTGTCTGCTGCAGGAGGAAGTGTATCCCAGCCGGAAGTTGGAGGAACAAGACCACAAATGTTTCTCAGCAAAACCGTTAGAAGCGTGATGTCGAAGTTTCTTGATGAGACTGAGGATTTGATGGCAGGATACAGTTTACCCCATTGCGATGGATTCAACACTTTTTTGTTCTTAAGTTGTTGTAGCATTCTATGAACTGGAGGGCTTGACAAAACCTTGTCCAGGTTTCCTAGTGGACGTTTCTTTTCAAAAGTCTCTCTAAGGACATGTGAACTGATATCCACTAGAAGCCTGCATAACCGGGCGTAGTTAGTTGTCTCTTTCGTGGAGTGAAACGATGGTGCTGGTGCAGACGCCATGTATAATTTTTCCTGCAATGATCAAAACAAAGACCTTAAAATTTCTTAGATAGCAAACGAGGTCATTCAATCGTCATTTTTGATTGATGTTTGTAGCGGACGTCACAGAGTCATTCTCTTCCACTTCTCAATAAAATACGTGATCATAAACTGATTAGATCTATTCAGGTTGACAGGCTAGTGTACTTTTGCACGAGAAAACAAGTTGAAGATTCGACAAAATGTACTGAATTATGTTACTAAGATGTTATCCTGTTCCTGTAGCAAGACGAGCCTCTCCTCCCTCCCCTCCCCCACCCGAAAAAGTCCTTTCTACACGCAGCTGAAATGGGCATTTTGTTAACGATCCCCAAGCGCGCTAATGCTACTGGGTCACCGTACTGCGCTCGGTAAAAAACTTACACTTTGATGTGTTTAACTTTAGCTTGTCTACTCGAATTAGACATTGGGTTTTAAATGGATAAAATTTATCATTAAGTCCAATCTGTTATCTTAACAGATGCCAACAGAAGGGGTTGCGTTGGACCATGTCCTTCACGTGCGTGCGTGTTTTGAACTACGACAGGCTGGAAGTCACAAATAAAGTGATAAATACATATGATGCACGATCCTCGCAGTAGATAGCGCTATTTAAGCAATAGCGAAAATCAGGCCTGTACGGGACTCGAACCACTGTACGGGACTCGAACCGTAATCCACTTAACGGCCTGCTCCTAGTTGGCTTGTTAGCTCAATTGGTAGAGCGCTCACTAGTATCGCAGAGGTCAGTGGTTCGAGTCCCGTACAGGCCTGATTTTTTTCAGGTCTGATTTTCGCTATTGCTTAAATAGCGCTATCTACTGCGAGGATCGTGCATCATATGTATCTAATACCGCAGTACAAAATATATGAACTTCATATATTTCATTGTATCTCAAAGTGATAAATAATTCGATTTTTGGTGGGGAGGGGAGGGGGGCGTTGCGTGACATGTTACAAAACAGGTTTGAGAGAGACTGTTGAGACGGAATATTCGAATTCAAAGTATTCACCCTAACTGGAGTCAAAACTGAGGGTAAAATTTTGAGACCTCCATGATCGATAACATAAACCTTTACAATGATGCACATGAAGCTCAGCACACAACTGCGAATAACCATCATCCGTTCTACTTGATATATAAATCCAGTGGAATCAAATCATTCGTGTTTAAGTTCCCTCAAGCCAAATAATCTGTACCCGTAAACCCATACAATGATGTGTTCTATAAACAAGTAAATTACGTAGTCATTGACTGCTTGCAAAAATTTCATTTAATATGATCAAGGGTGACTGAGTCTTGGTGGTGCGATAAACTGCCTATGCTAACCCGAATGGAAGTCTTGATGGTGCTTTCCTTAAGACAACAAAACCTCTCAAACCGAAAGCAATCGGACTTTCTTTGAAAGTTGTTAACTTATGAGAATCAAAAGAAATTCTTACCTCTAAGGCTCGCGGCGAGACTCGAACGATGACAAAGCGTCCACTCGCTTAAAACCTCTCAAGTTTTGATTTGTCAACAAGATGTAAATCCTTTACAGTCAGTCTCAGGAGTGGACAGCAGGAAATGCGGTTTTTGGGAACTTATTCACAAATTCAAGTTACATTTTAAAGTTTCTTCATTTTTACCGGAGAGAGATCATTTGATGCTACCCGCGATGAAATATGAAATTGTTCCTTAGTGGGTAAGTGCGTGACTTTCGCTTTCGAAATCGTGACATTTTAATTTAGCCGACGAACCAGACTGGAGAGAGGGTCTCTAGGGGGTGGGGTGGGGAAGCTTTGACGATATTGACAGGTGATTTTTTAACTTCGATTTTCTTCATTCGAATCAATGTCTATTTTGGTATTATTGATATAAACTGTAGATAATGTTGAGAGATGAAGTGAACCATACCCTCACGAATGAACAATGATTAATCCGAGTACACTGAACAATAATTCGGTTCCGGTGTGGTAGACGCACACATCATTAACATGCAGAGCAGACTTAACTTTGGCAAGCGAGCGCTCAGTATTTTGTTAGAAATCTTTGAGTTTTAATCTACGGCAGTGGAAGGTTGGAAATAAAAAAATAAATTTGTACTGAGGGAATCAGCGTCGGTTAAAAGTCTTAAAATGATGGAGAGGGGAGGGAGTGCCCAATTCCCTCACCTTCTACTCTTAACTCTAAATCAAACAAACCGGATGGCGAGCTTGTAACGTAAATGCACCTTAATATAAAGACACCTGCATTGCAGGCTGACACGTCATTGGTAGAATTTTGCAATAATGATTCTTCCAGCACTAAGTATAATATGGAAGGGGGGACAGCACTTCGTCTTTTCGTAGCTAGTCTTTCATATATGTTCTAGATGATAATATAAATTTGTTCTCTTGTCTCACGACAAATTAAAGTCACTGGATGTAAAAAGCAACGTTTCGACTACTAACTGCGAGTCTTCTTCAGGCGATGGGGTGGACTGGTTGGGGCACAGCATTATATATCATGGTGGTCTGTTGTGATTGGTGCGTTTCGATCCCGCTATCGTTTCCATGTACCATGGTTTCCTCAGACGTTCGTTGATTTTTCGCGCGTCGTTGGTTTAGATGTTTTCTTATTGTAGGCATCCACGCTTCCGGTATTTCGGCTCCGTTGCCCCTGTTTATTTTGTTTGGGTTGAGTTTTATGTGAATTGTCTCTTTCACTTTCCTTGAGTACCAATGGCTGTCTCGGTCAATAAACTTTATTTCGTTCCATAGCGGCTTGTGTTCGGTTCTGTTGGCGGATCTGAAACCGCGGAATTCAGAGCGCGTGCGAGTCGTATATCCCCGTCGTGTTCTTTTACTCTCTCCTGCATCGGTCGTCCTGTTTTCCCGATGTGAACTTTGCCACCTGTGCATGGTATCTTGTAGACACCCTCGTAACAAGGGAACCAGACGGCAAACTACCTATTTCATAACATGGTCTAGATCTTTCCAAAGACTTTGTGGATCTAGGTCTGCGTAACCACATGCTTAATCCATATTAGGAAAGAGTAAGAGCTATCGGAAACAGAGTTGTATTTCACTAATTCCTGCCTCTTTTCTTTTATCTTTTCCTCCTTTTCTGATTAGAGATGTATTCGGCAATGAACTACGTGACTAATACATGCACGTGTGCTGTGTTTTAGGTCGGTTTTCTACAAACGTTCTTTGGGGCTGAACAACGCCACTGCATGTCGCGAGAGTTGCGCTTAAAAAGCGCTCTCAACTTATATCATGTCAGTTCACTCCCAGTGCGTTGGTACCCATATATAATTAACCCATTAATCACCCTAGTGGAACGAGGAACTTTGAGATTTAAGTATCTTTCTCAGGGACACAACACAATTACCTAGCCGATCAATGCGCGGACGCCAGTGGGGGAATATTTGAATGAACACAAAACAGCTTCATTTGGGGGGTATTCTTACATTTTCCCCATTCTTTACTATAATTCAATTTTACTTTCACGTTCCCATCAGTTCTGAATTTCTTCATTTTACGTAACTTTTTTTGATAAACTCTGTAGAGGAATAGCCAAAATTTTCCTGCTCCTAGGAAGTACTGATAACGAAATACTTTACTTTAAGCGGAAGTAAAGCTGAAAGCGGAGGGCGTGAAGCTTAATTTTTTTTATTTTTCGCGTGCGTGATACTTTTGACCTCTCCAACGCTACATGGCCACTTGAGCCAATAAAATATTTTTGGAAAGCATTATGCTCTGTCATTGCGGAGAATTGATAAACAATGTGGGTGGTTATGGATCAGCAGTCATAATTATCGATTCAAAATAGAAGAAAAAGGATCATGAAAATGCAAGCAGATTTTCCTGTGGCAATCAGTATGATTTTAAGAAACAAATATAACTGAAGTGGGATTGTTTCGAAATGTTTCAATATAAATTGTACATCTGTTGGAGCCTCTACCAATTTAGCTAAAATGTATATGTCGGAAGCGATGAAATGAATATTTCACCAAAACTACAAATAGGCAGGTGACTTGCCTTCAGATCAATAAAAGCTGTTCATGTCAAGCCTTTTATTTCGCAAACAATGAAAATTAAAATCAATAACACAAAGATGTGGGGTAAATTGATTTGGAAAAGGACCGAATTTAAAAAATTTGGCTTGATTGCTGCATTTCGTTATAAAGCGCCACTGGCATCATTGTGACCTTTTTGTTATCATATAAAAATCGATACCGGAAGAAGCGAGCTGGGAAAATTTACTTCTATTCAAAATATTTTTTGTCCGTAAATGGCTGGTTTGCCTCCGTTTGAACTTTTTTCACTGATTTCCAACGTTCTCTTAGCGGTTTTGACTGCAACAACCAAATCGGAGTTTTGCGGAAGCTATTTTGAAGCTCACGTCGGTAGGTTGAGGAAATATATTTCTTCTGTTCCATTGATCTTCTGTAATTAATTTGTAAAAAACTAAAATTGGTAAGAGTAGTATAAAATATAGTCTCTCAGCTTTTTTTTTTTCTTCATATGGTCGATCCACTCAGACCATGCGTTAGTTGGTCACGTCATGGGAAGAAGTACTGTCACCAGTGATTTTGAATGTCTGCAAAAATGCATTAGAAAAATCAGTTGCAAATCCTGCAATGTTCACCTAAATGGTACATACACGAGTCGTATCTGTGAGCTGAAAAACCAAACGCAACACATGAAGTCAAGTGATCTCATGCGCAAAGAAGGATCCACTTATTATGGCATCGTTCAGGTTAGTTGAGTACGGAGTTTGTGGAAAAGCCGGCTCACTCGACGAGAGTAAATCCACACTTATTTTTCTGTATATAAAGTTTTTCTCCACGAAGAATTTTCCCTTGGGTAATTATTCTTAGCAGTTGTCGTGGTGGTTTTTTTCTGACAAGTCACCTTTATGAATAAGCTGGCTTATGTTAGGATATATCATGTGAACTGAAATTTGTCGATGCACCCAAGATTGGTTCACTCTCGTTAAATTAAGCTGATGAGAAGTTATTTACGTTCAAATTATCACTGAACCTTGTATATGAAATTATTGCATATCTGTGTATATTTGATGTATGTTTTTCGTTAATCCTATACAGCATTCAGATTTTACCCGAAGTTCTCTGTTTTTAGGATGTCCTATAGAAAGAAGCTTTGTAGTGTTACTACTCATCATGGCGTAGAGTCTTAAAACTGGAGTGGCTCTAACTTTTTACAAATGCTAAAATAAAAAGTAAACGGTTTAAGAAAGGCCAACATAATGAAGAGTCCGAATAATTACGATGCTACGCACAAGCTGAACTTCTAAATTGACTGATAAAAAAAACTGATTGGACGGTGATTTTCAGTCGGTCTACAATCCACGGCTTTTTCAACTTCACAAACTGCATCGATCTTTCCAGAATCCACAATGCGTGGGATTTTTCTAGGGCTAAATTCGTCTTCTTAAGGAAGACAAGTGCCATTGAAAAATTTGCTGCGCTAACGGAAATAAAGGAAACAAGTTTTCTTTATATTGACTGAGACTTGCTTGTAAATAAAGCTGGCTCAGAGTTGCTGTCCTAGTTCGACAAAAATAAACCAAGATGTTTTTAGCTGTATATATGGTTGCTTCCTCTTTTAGACAGCAACCACCAGGAAATCAATCAAAAGCAAACCATGGATCGACCTATGGTTTATTTAGTCAATCATTCAAAACTTAACGAAAATTATTGAGCTTGCTTGTATTTCAAGGTTACTAAATTTGTCTTGATAAAATTAATTAAACCAAACATTAAATTAGTTTAGGAAATTTTGAATGAACAGTATTTGTGATGAGTTTTTGTTTTTTTTGTTTTTGTTTCGTTGTTTCTGCTTTTTTCCTTTTTTATGAGATAATGTTGTTTAATACCTCGCTCCGATCATACGATGACAGACCTCATCTGTGACATGACTGACAACAGCGTCACATGCAAGAGCTCCACAGTTTGCTTGTCCTGTCCTAGAAAAAGGTTTAATTCAATGTACGTTAATTCTACCAGCACATGTTACAGGTCTCTTGCAATCCTGGCTTCCACGAGGATAATACGACCAAAAACGTCACGTCCAGCCATGAAGGAAGCTTAGCACGTGAGTACGCCTGGGTTTTGAGCTGAGGCAGGACCGAAAAATGAACGATATAGTTTTATGTCATTGTGACTCTTAGAAATGCGAATTATTTGATTAAAAATTTCAAAATTTTTTAACGCGTTTACTCCATGCTACTTCAAAAACCAATTCCTCCCTGGATATGTGTATATATTTTATTTATTTAAGATGATAAAAACCCTTGGCTCATAACACCCGGCCCTTTTTTCACAATTTTAGACAACTGCTAGTGCTCCAATAGGACGATGTGATCAATTGTTTTCAAAACTAAGCTTGTATAACCATTGCAGCGGGAGTACAATGTACTTTATCTGGTCCATGATATACAACACCACGCATTTTATTTTCAGCTGTTCTTGGCTGGAATTCCAGTTTACCTGCTCAATCTTGCAAACACATACGGGATGTTGGTGGATCTAAAGGGAACGGGGAGTACTGGATCGACCCAGGGAGCAGTGGAAACCCTTTAAAGGTGTACTGTGACATGACAACTGATGAAGGTAAGTGGTGTCGATGAAATAAGATTTAGAATACAAATATGTGCATATGAGGCACAAGTGCATATGATTTGGTTTTGGATCAAAAAGAGGCAGCGAACGCTGGGCTCAGTTGTACGAGGGGCTATTAGCGCTAACCCAAGGTTAAATTTTCCGCGTTATTCCATTACTAAGAAACTTTTTTCAAATAATTTTCTGTATTCTTATTTGAGCATGCAATCATCAAACTGCGTACAAAAGGAGTTATACTCAATTTCATTTTTATTCATATCTTTTCATTAATATTTTCTTTCTTTTTTATTACCAGGAGGTTGGCTTCTGATATACAACGTTATAATAGATAATTCGCGACCCCCGACCAGTTTGGACGTTGAGACGTCCTACACAGGAATTAATCGTTACAAGAACGGTAAGATGGTTATTTCACCTGACGGTTTGCGACAACTAAGAAAAAACTTTTCTTTCACTCAGCTGAGATTTCACTGCCGTAAACAGTACCATGGAAGAACATTTCATGTAAAAACGGCCGCTAACAGCTCTGGTCAGGCTGTGGTCAGGTTCTTTAGCGGTGATACCGACGTTTTTCCCGAAGCCTGTGGTTCATTTGAGAAACTGCAGGGAGACAACTCAGAGCTCGCAAGTAGATGCGCAGAATGGGGGAAGGAAAAGAACGCGTATTATGTTGGAAAATGGGGACATGAAGGACATAAGGAGCTGCATATAAATTCAGCATTCATTTTGAGTACCTACCATTGGATCACTTCACCAGATCATGACAGATGGGAATGTGATGATGTTTTGGCGAAACATATGTCAAATGGTGACTTCTGGAAAATTTATGTCCGTTGATAAATTCTGCTGTAACTACATTCTAAGACATTACTATTTACTTTTGGAACTCTACAATTCGATTTTACGATATGAGGAGTTAAGCACTTTGCTGCATGGTTGAGAGTACATTATCTTTCAAAATTCCTGTCCAATAGGATTAGGCTTCGTAACGTTAATTCAGGAGAAAGTTAGTAAAGTTGGACATTGTAATGTTCTACGGGTACTGAAAGTTGTAACTTGTAAATTTCTCTTGTAACTTTATTCAATAGCTTGATTATCATGCATTGGTTTTAATAATTAAATGTTTTGAGAATTTTTCGGCAGGCTATGGTATGGATGAATGTAAAAATCTTGTTTATCATTAATCATTTAAACACTTTGTTTAGAACTTGGACTATGCGGAGCTACTAAGAATTAACAAACCGAAGATATTTTAAAAGGGGCTTATTTGAGGGGCTAATTATTCGTGAGCACACCGATGGAAAAATAGGAAAAAATGAGGAAGTCTTAACAAGCACTTGATCGCACATGTGATTAACTTATAGATTCCCCTTACTTCATCGACACATTGTCAAAGGAACAGCTGATAACAATAAACCACGCTGTCAATTGGTGGTAGCTATATCTTGATGTGATGTCAAATTCTCTTTATCATTATTCAACAGTACTTGGCAGAGTACAAATAACGCCTTAGACAAGTACAAGTATCACGCAATATTTGTACTCCAGAAATATCTGCGAAATTCGTCCGCACTGTAATGACAATTTTACGTGGATGATAAATGTCTTATTAGACGTTTTGTTGTGTAGTATACTGAGTTATCTGTATTTGACGAGCCCGGGCTCGTTAAAATACGGCACAACTCGTAAAAATACTCAGCAATACTACACAACAAAACGTCCAATTAACAATTATTCCACGAGCGCTTGTTGGATATGAGATGATAGTTAGCCAACTCGGCGCTACGCGTCTCGTTGGCTCTCTATCATCTCATATCCAATGCACGCTCGTGGAATAATTGTTTTATTAAAAAAAACGCCCCCAAGATATTAGACAAATCGTCTCGACTTTATTTTGTAGGAAGAAACCGGATGGTACAAGGTACAGATATTAGATTATGGTATATTGGCTCATATACCATGATGGCTAAGCCAATCAAAAGTCTTGAATTGCATTATACAGTGATCCAGTTTTTAATAAATCTATTTATCTCTGAAACTGTCTGACCTTATTTTTCAAATGCCAAACATTTACCAGAGGAAAAAGCTCCATATGATTGCTCACTCACTTTGGAACCCCTGTTTATTACACGACTCGGGCAGTCAGAGGGCCAATAACTAAAATCAACCAATCAAAATGCTCTATTGCCGGTCCAATATTCTCTAAGTATTGGACCGGGCACTGTCCCGAATGGTCCCGAATGATACCGCACTTGTGTCCCTTTGAACTTCAGTCGTATAATAAATCTCTTATTAACCAAGCTTGCTCGGGACCGTACTGGAAGAATATCGGCCCTCGGTCTTTTTTGTACTGTCAAGACCTCGGGCCGATATTCTCTGTGTACGGCCCTCGCGTTTGGTTAATAAGATATATATATTCGTTTTCTTTTGTGATCGTAATTACTTAATGTTTTAAATAAGAAATGTAGCGAGTTAAAAATAGGATTATGTTTACTTACACCAACTCAACGGTCAAACTTCTAGGCATGCGCGGACCTTGTAATAGCCCAAAGGTGTGCTTTAAGGCTGCGAGTCACGGTGTCTTAGAAGCTTCTAACTCTTATGAACTCAAAACAACCAGACACTTATACTTAAATAAGCTGTGTGTGGCAAGAGTCATAGGTTTTCCTGTTCCTTACTTTTATTTCCTTTTACAGTTTTCTAGGTAGGTTCCCAGTTTTTTTTTTATCTTTAACTCCGTGTCACACTGGTTGTTTCCTATGTTTTCAGCTATGAACATTTTGCGCGAGATATGGGCGCACGAGTAACCAAGAATGAATCATTTGCGCATGCTTTAACTGTGGCCGCTGATCGCATGAATTACACTTGCTCGTTGGTGTTTTGGACATGCTGCGAAGATTCATCCCCGAGACCAGCAGAATGAGGCCTGACTACAACAGTACGAGTGAAGCAAATGACTCTTTTCATCTTTTCTCTGAACTGCTGGTTTAACAGAGCATAGGCAAAGGGATTAACAGCAGAATTAAACAAGATCATCGTGGAAGTGATATTGAAGGGAATAGGGCCGATTTTGTAGGATGCGACATACCAGAGGGTGAAGACAAGTTCATTTGTGAGCCAACAGATTCCAAAGATAGCACTGACGGTGATTACCATTAAGGTGACTCGCTTCCGTACCTTGATTACACCCTGCGAATTAAAGATTAAAGAGTTCTTGTCGCAATGTGATTCTACCGGCTTTTAATTCAGTCAATGGTGGGTTGCTGATTTTTTTTTTTTTATGTATTGCTAGATTGAATGAAACGCCATGAAAATTATTTCACCTTGTGTAAAATTAAAAAAGGAGAAAGAAAAGGATTTTTTTTTTCGCATATACTGACTGACTTGAAAAACCGCATTACTCACGTCTTTTATGCTCAAAAGATCAAACCTCACCAGTTGCTGCTGGGTCAGCTGGGCCAAGGTATCACTGCGGTTCAACCACAGGGTGTACACGACTCTGGAATACAAGCCAGCCATAAGTAACAAGGACACCAACACCAATATTAACCAGGACAACGGATAGGCCTTTGACATCCAAAACTGAGGCCAGAACGCCATGCAGGAATTGCCTGTTTCTTCATCAACGCCAGAAAAAAGGAATAGTGGTAGATTGAATATAGACGAACACAACCAAGTCGAAGAAATGATCATCTGAAAGATAAAGCTCATAATAAATGAAGCGTGTCCACCTCTTAAGTTGAACTCATGTACATAACGTCACACCTTTAGATTATCTTTGATGAAATTTCCTTTGTTACCGAATGGATAAACAATTGCGTAATATCGTTCGAAGGCGATAGCAACCAGAGTGATCATGGAAGACACTCCACCGACCCAGGCAACAATTCCATCCGTTAGAAATTTGCACAAAAATGAACCAGTTGTTCCGTCTGGATGGGAAGCAGTCACGGTGATAAACACTTTTGGTGCCATGAATACTGCATACAAGATGTCCGCTGCAGCTAGGTTCACAAGAAGATAATTTGTGGGGTTCCTTAAAAAAAAAAAGAATTGAAAGTGAAATAAATCGCAAACCATTCGCTCTATCAGGCTCTCCAGTGGCCCCTGCAGTTTACCTAACATTTCTCAACACAAACTCAAACACGGCAATCATAAACTTTGAAAAAATCTGAGGAAAAACATCACCGCTGTCTTGTTCATGAGCAGGTCGATATTCTTTTTTAAAGTAGTCTCCCAGAAAATTTACATACTTACTTGTGGGTAACTGCCGGGCGATAGCTTAGGTGGTATCTTGCGATGGATTGGAGCGAGAGATATTAGGGCGGTAGAGTAGCTATACTCCCACTCGCCTCATGCCTCTGAAGACGGGATACACCCCGGCCAGATGGGCCCTGCTGGCTCGTAATCTGACTTCACCTTTAGCGTTGCTTTGCAAACAAATAAACAGACGCCCTATTCTAACCCATACTGACCTCATATCCCGATTCGTCTTTATGATCCAACAAACGAGAGAATTCCCTATGATGTTTGTGGAGGTTAACAAGGAGAAAATTATTGCTATGAAAACAGCAGCTGAATCGGACATCGCTCAGCGGACGATATAATCTTTCTGACCTTGAAAAGAAAAAAACAAGATTGATGAATAAGTAACACTACCATGCGATTATCGAGAAGATTCGCCCACTCGAGGTATCTTCGGAAAAATATCACAAATCTCGGTTTATTATACCGTTTAACAAAAAACTTACATTGTTCTGAGCCCTTCAGATAATAGTTTCTATTTTTTAAGATATACTATCATTTATTTTATGAATAATTAACAATTATTTACCGAAGTGGAGGTGACGAGTGGTGGATATTTAGAGAACCGCGGAGCGTCGAGGTAATGACTCACCACCGTCACCGACATTGAAGTAAATGATTGTTTTAATTAGTATATATATAGCACACAGAAACCAAATTAATTAGCTTATTTTTGTCAATAAACCGAGAAAAAGGTCGGAAATTAAACTCTTGGCCCGCGATTTCGATTCTTCGGCTGCTTGTTAATCACTTCTGCATTAGCCAATCAGCGCGCGCGCATAGCACTTTTCATCTGTGCCACGCATCAAATATCAAATAAGGTCAGTAAGGTTTTAAGAGGTTTATATTGCCTTCTTGTGTAATGCTCTCAATTAGTCGTGTGGGGTTTAATATTAAAACATCACCTTAAATAAAGGTTTCCGACTCTCCCTTTATGATTAACATCGGTATTGATGATGTACAATATTGGGCGAATACTTGTCATTCTGTGATTGGTTGATACCTCTAATCTGTTAGAGCACAAACACACCCAAGCAAATTTCTTTCTTTGTTTTATTCAAAATAGCGCTCATTTACGAAATTCTGGGCAGAAATCATTATTAGTCAAAGCGTCTTTAACTGTCTTTAATAATAGGATTACTCTCGCCAAAACGATCGCCATATTCGATCAGAAAATATAACCAACTCGTTAAATTGATAAAATTGAGTCATAAACATTATATTGGGAGCAAAATTCACCTGCTTTTCTTTTCAGCTTCGTTTGTAGCGGCCTTAGGATGCCACTTTTTAGCTTTTTTTCTCAAACAAACTTACCTAAACTTGCAGCTTGAAGCACAGGTTCCAATATTGTCGAGGCTTGGGTTTTTTTCAGGCCTCGTTTTTCTTCAATTCTTTAACTGCGATTAATGTTCACCTGTGAGAGGATCACTTCGTTACTTGCTTCATAACGAATATGGATAGCATTTAATTGCACACATTCTGAATCTTACAGGACACGTTAGAATATTTCTCAGACACTATGAAAAATGCCAAACACAGTTACCACAATCAGTCACCAGCAAAAAACAGTGAAACGAACTTTTTTATCTTTTCCTTGGTTATCTGAAAGTATAACGAGATTTTTGCGTGATTTTCCCTTGCACAATTGACGAATATCCATCTGGTGTTTTTGTCTCTTTCTGAATTTTCTTATCGACTAGATAACAAAGCGTTTCAAGTGAATTTTCGACTCTATCTTTGATGGTTTACTATCACAAGCACGTTAAAAGAATAGTGTATTCTTATCGACTTACCAATGACTTTTTCAACCGTGCCTGATCCCAGCTGAAAAACCCTTCTCCAAGATTCAAGTATTTAGCTTGTCTCAACTAAACGGAAATGCATAAATGAAAAGTGGCAGCTGCAGTATGTGTACACGAACTTGAAGAGTTATGCATTTGAATTGTCGGATGTTCAAGTAAGTTGAGAATCAGCTGGCTTAAACAGTCGCTATACTCACGAATATAGATTCATTGTTTTTGGTGAAAGATCATGACAATATATTCGAGTTTTTGTTCTCAAAGCCTTTGCGCTAATGGACCTTTGGTTCTGAGGAAAAAAATTTTCTTCTTTAGCTCCCATTAACACTAAGTGAGATGTCAACTCATGTCTACGAGTGTCAGATGCGGAAAGACACTTTAATGCGGTAAAGTTTCTATTAAGTAGAAAAAAGTTAATTTCAATCGGAAAAAATAGAAGCAACCTAGAAAGGAAAGAGAAACTTACGTAAAGTTTGTTCGACTGACTGACCACACTGCTGGTCCCGAATAGATTCTCAACGATCGGAATCCAAGACATTTTAGACGTCTCGTAAGGATGAAAAAAAAAATGGAAAATACAGCTATCGATTCAAGTGGTCATTACTACCGCAGCTTGTCTCAGCTTCCCTAACGTGGAGAAACTAAGAGTATTTTTTATCTCTCCCTTGGATGGGATGCCATTCCATCGAAGGTTAACTCTCAGTTTTCCCTGATAGTTCACCAATGAGCTGATAAACTCCTGGGTGGATCAGAGAGAGGCATTGTGGGAGTAGAGAAGAACGGATAAACACAACCCAATGAGCTGGCCAGGGGCCCGTTTCTCGAAAGTCCCGGTGACTTAACAGACCCGTAAACCTGTTCTATTTTCATTCAAGACGGGGACTCCAAAAGTTTTGAATATGATACAATAAAACTATCAGCTAAAGAAAAAAAAAAGAACTGGCATGGTTTGGGTGCCAGAACCCGCTTTTTGATTTTAAAACAGGGCTTCGGGCCCGTTAAGTTACCGGGACTTTCGAGAAACGGGCCTCAGGTTTCGCTCTAGTACCTCCCGACGCGGATTACACCGCGCTAACCATTAGTATGTGTAGTCGTCGGAAGTAATGTGTTTTTTTTTTCTTATCTCAGAGGCACTTGTTAGTAGCAATTAAGCTTCCATGCGCACCAAAGCTTGATTCTTAAAGGGCGTTGAGACGTAAAATTTGATTTTTTTTTTTTTTAATGAACACACTTGTTGAAGTCCTAAATGTAATAACTTTCCTAAATGTAATAAAATCCTAAATGTAATAACATTTGCTTCTAAATGTAATAAGCCTCCAATGCAATCGTTTAACTGCGCTAGTACATTGTTGTTGTAGCGGACATCCACATCGAAATGTCAGTGACAGCTGTTGCACTAAAAAATCCTCTGACCAGTATTCATGTCACATTGCGGGCTCGCTGACATTAATCAGCGTCTTTTTACTTGCTAGACGCAAGTCGAGTAGCACTGGCTGTAGACCGTTATACTGACGGCATCAAATGACAGCTGGCAAAACAGTGAGTGTGCTGACCAGTACCTCCATATATCACTGGCTCAGACTCTTTAGTTGGAAAAGGATGATAACGTTATACTTGTGGGATCGGTGATGGAGGTACAAGTCATAAACCAATTACAAACTTGGACAAAGGAGTCTGCCAGACCTATACATCGGATAATTTACAGGCTCGGATATCCATTTTTTTGTCCTTCTTGACCAGACCTTGTTAGCATGCGCATTTTGTTTCCCAATTTGGACCTTGTGGCAGCTCTCTAAAGAGTTTTTGCTTTCAAATTCTCGAGACGAGATAATTTTTCTCCCTAAGAGAACATAATTGGGGACAACTATGTTCTCTTGATCTTGAATTGCATGCAACAAATCCGACAAACAAAAACGATACTGGATGGATCAGCATCAAATTACATACTCAGTAACTTACATTTAACAGGTGTAGATGAAAAGAAGCTGCTGACGAACACATTAAAAATGCTTATTTATGTTAGAGACTGTAAATGATGTCCCGGTCCCCAGAAACTCAAGGAAAAAGTTGTGCTCTTGCTTTGTCTAAGATGTGAGTAAAACTATTCGTGTAAGCCGTTTTTTGATGGTCTCAGGCTAATTGATTTAAAGAAAAGAAAGAGGAAAAAAAGGAAACTCTAAAGAACAACCTTTTGGGAGTAAGTCGAGCTAAAACCATGAGGAAGGAAATTGTAGCGTACTTAAAAAGTAATCCGTGCGATAGCGATGGCCTCTCCCTCCTTTGGAGTATTTGGCAGATGATGAGTTCGCTCGCTGGGACGACTATTTAAATCATGTGGCGCGAGATGGGACCCATGGGGGTCAGATAACAATGTATGCAGCAGCAGACTTGTACAACATCGACATCCAAATAGTGTCCTCTCTTGGAGTTGGTGGGCAGCATGTGTTCAGTGTGTAAACGAGTGTTTCAGTAGCTACCATGTACCTTGGACATTTTGTTAAGAACCACCGTGAATACTATGTGAGCTTGGAATAAGTTAGGGATCACAACGACGGTAGCGAAGAAGACAACGAAGCAGATGACCCAGGAGAAGGAGAAATTTCCGAGGATTATGCAAATAAAATGCATATTGAACTGAATTTTGAAATGGATGATACGGTTGATTACCAGGATGACACCGACGCAAAAAGTGGACCTGATAATATGGTCGACGATGGTGACGACATGGATATGACTGCAGATATAGCTAAGGGATTACACATGGTAGCCAAACGAACGGAACGGAGCTTGAATTGCAAAATGAAGTCGGCAAAGGCATAGTCAGTGATGGTGCTAAGCTAATAGAAGATCAGTTTGTTTCAGACATAGACAACTTCTTCTTTGTAGTTGCAGTCGTAAATGTTGGGCCTGGTGACAAAGACTAGACACAGCTGGGGTTGTAGGTGCCAAGCATTCTGGTTGGGCAGGGCTGAATAACGAAATGCTACGTCGGAGGGTATGCGCTCCATAACGCGGGCTAAAGCGCGTTAGGGAAAAAATTTAGGGAAATTAGCGTAAAATAATAAGGGCTGACTTTTAAAACCGAAGCATTTTCCTATTTCCAGAGTTTTTGAGGAGAAAATTAATTTTCCAAAAATTCGAGGGGTTGTACAAAGTTTTTAGAGGTTGTTCTGTAAAAGAAAAGCGGCTAGGAAAACGACGCTACAGAATAGAAAATCAACCATGCGAACGACTCAGAATCCGTTTTGCACGGCAAAAGAAACATCGACGACGTTCTTTAGCTGCTTAAAAAATACCGCTGACTAACATACGTGTTGATCGTTTTGCAAGTTGTGAGAGCATCGTCCCTAAGATATCTTATGCGCTTTTTAAAAGTCACAACAGAAAAGGGAAAGCAAGTATCTTAATAAAATAATAATAATAATAATAATAACAATAATAATAATAATAATAAT